AATCTTGGCAGTATATAAAAATCTTTTTAAAAAAAATATTCATATTATCAGTTATACATTAATAAAGAATAAATAAAAGTTAATTTAATCTTACTTTAAAATAGGTTTAAAAATCTGCTCACTAATATTGGATATTTTAAAAATATAATACCCATTTTCTTTTGTTGGATTAGTTAAAGCATTTCTAAAAAAAGGACATTGAGCACATAAGATTGATAAATGCGCATGCACTTCTTTAATATTTGGTTCTGCGCCAATTTGAATCTTTACATCGTAATTCTCTTCCTCCTCTAATAGTCTTTTATTATTATTAAAATGATCTATTGTTAACGTTGTGTCCATATTTATTTATTAGTATTAGTATTAGTGTTAAAATTTTTTGTATCACGGTGACAAAGTTTTTGTAAAACTTGTACTTTATAAGTTAATAAATATTATTATTATATATATATAAATAAAATAACAGAGGTTATGTTTACAGCTCATAAATATCCCACGAATAATCTGAAGCTTGCAATTGATACCTCGAGTGGTTGTGTGTAGAAACAAATATAACCTGAGGCAGCCTAGGAATCATCAGACTTCTGGAATTCATGAATAATAAAGGTTCAGGAACTAAAAGCCTAGAATATATAAAACAAATACCCAAAATGGCAATATTTAAAATTGGGAATGACTTCAAGTGTGTTACTAAAATATAAATAAAATTTCAAACTTTCTTAGTTGACTAAAAAAAAATGAATCTCATTGAACTTCCACGAGAAATTTGTATAGAAATTATTACAAAATATGGATTGAATATATCTGATATTATGAATCTATTAATTACATGCCATAATTTAGCATCATTAACAGTCCCATTATTGTGGAAAGAACGTAAATTTACAGAAAAAAAATCATTATCCAAATTTATTAGTATACTTCAAAATCAATCACAAGAACAACAACAACAGGGAAATATTTCATATAATAATAATAGTAGTGACGGTGGAAGTAGTAATAAAAAGTCATTATTTCCATATTCTAGTTTTATAGATAAATTGGTAATTGAAGAATTGGAGTTTGAATCAAGAATATGCATTGATATAGGGTTGATTGGATTTATAGCAGAAAAATGTGTAAATTTAAAAGAATTGTCTTTGGGATTGTCTAATAAACAAAGAAAAAAATATGAATTGCCACTACATTTACTTGGTGATAGATTGATTCGTTTGAACCTTAATTATTATAAGCATGTGAACGATCATCTTGATATGGAAGATAAAGATGTTGATGATCTAGAAGAAGGGAATGATGATGATGACGATGATGACAAAATGCAAGATGATGATGATGGATTATGTGGAGCAATGAAATGTGGAAAAATCAATAGTATTAGATTGTATAATCCAAAATTGGCCCGAAATGTTTGGAAAAGGTAATTAATATTAAAATTGTTATTGATATTTTGATGATTGATATTTGATTGGATACATTAAAGCAAATTAAAATTAATTTAACAAAAAAAATTTTTAAATAGAGTTGCATATAACTCCAAAGAATCATTACTTTCAGTCAGAATAATAAGCACTGATCAATTGTTATTAGAATCCAATATCAAAGATCCATCAATAATAGTAGAATATTTTGGAAAATATTGTAAAAATCTTAGAAATTTTGATTTTGCCACGGAACGTTTACCGATTAATGAATCGGCAGTTAATACGTTATCAACGGGATGTCCAAAATTGAATGCGCTTGATATACCAGCACATGGTAAATCGATATTGATTTTACCTCGATTTAAGTCTTTAACATCTGTTCATTTATCGTACGAGTTGAAAGGAGAAGAGCTTGATTTGTTAGGTAGGAACGATGAAGAAAATGATAATGAAATGATAAGCTTGAAAGATTTATCGATTGAGTGTATCAAAAGTCGGAGCAATTTTGAATTTTTGAAGTTATTTCCAAACTTAGAATCCTTGGAGATAGGAACATTTGATGAGTTGGATGAATTGGTTTTGAAAAATATTGTAAAATCAAAAAAAGTGATAAAATTAAAATTAGTCAAAACGCCGAAAATAACAGACAAATGTTTATTATTAATTGCGTCAATGAGTCAGCTAGAAAAATTTTCAATTGAGAATCGATTGAACGAGGTGAGCAAACAAGGATGGATAAATTTGGTTGTTAGGCCACCAGGAGTTTGTAGTTGGAAGGAGTTGTTGATATATGATAGTAGGGAGATTGGACCAGAATTTTTCGAGATTCTAGAGAGAGATCATCACGGTTTAAAAAGTTTAACTATCAGAAACGATAAGAAGAATCTGCTTGAAAATAATAAAAGAGTATTTGATGGTAAATTCAAAGAATCATGGGAAGCTTGTAAAAAAAATTCTTCTTTGTTTCGATGGCCTAAACCAGAAAGAAAGAAAAAGGATTTCAAAATGGGTGATTTCAAAGATGTTTATTGATGAAAGAAAAGAATGGAAAATTTATTTATTTATTATGTTGTTTATGTAAATTATTAATTATATATACACCTAATATAAATAATATTAATATTAAAAGTCTATCTATTTTATAATAATAATAATAGTAATAAATATTTATTCTATTTTTTTTGCCCCCAATATCTAAAGGTTTTAATATGAATTTTGTTTTGCTCGCATTCACTATGGAACCCTTCAACTAAATGATCATATTCAATATCTGATATTTTCATATGTTGTGGTAAAACCTTTTTCATATTTTGATAGGCAAGATAGAAATATACCAATGAAAATCTACCTAATCTACCACCCCATTTGCCTAAAGGAGTATAACGTTCTTCATAGTTGATTACATTGAATGCAGAAGTTGAGTTTAAGAAAGTTGATAATTGATGTGAAATTACTGAATTGATATTTTGAGAATTAAAATATGAAATTGCTAAATTTTTTGAAAGAAAGTAAATAAAAATAAGTTAATTTTAAATTCGCTATATGTTTTATTATTATTTTTGCAAAAATTTTTAGTACTTACTTGCATCTTGTAATTTGTTAGTTTGAATACCAGCATTATTAAATATTAAATCCAATTCCTACAAATGAATAAATTTGAATTGAATTAGAAAAAAAATAATCGAATGATCAAAAATTATCAAATTATAAAAATAAAGATAATTTACCATGATTTCAATCCAACAATCTTTTTTTGTGACCCTTAATAATTCTTTGATTACTTTATCTTGCCATTCGTTTTCAGTTAAATATTGTACTAGAAATCTTAAATGTACAAAATCAAAAGTGCTGTCTTCATATGGCAATCCTTTATTAATGTCTATCACTGAAAATTCCACGTTTGATGGAGAACTATTTGGAAACATTGGAGCCATATCGATGCCAATGAATTCGCTATTTGGATAATTTGATGCCATGTCTAACACCCAAGATCCACTACCACAACTAATATAATAATAATAATACATTTCAATTAATATACGTGATATATATATATACGTATAATGATACATTCTCATGTGTTATTATATTTACCCAATATCAAGTACTTTGGCACCATTCCTTAATTTTTCATCAATTGGCGAGGAAAAATTACTTTGCCAAACATATCTAAACAGCAAATGCCTTAATTGTATCCTGCCCATTATTTCATCGTCTGAAGGTAATTTATATTTAGATGATCTTTTTATTTTCTCATAAGTGTCAGGGACAACTTCATGAAATTTGGATGTGATATCTTCTTCATTGTTGTTATTATTAAGATATTGATTTTGGTTATTATTATAATGAGAAGGATGATTATGAGAGTGTGCGTAAGGAGTAATTGTTAAAAGTGATTTCCCTGAGGAATGTTGTTGACCCATTTGATAAAAATTATGTTATTATTTATTATATTTTTTTATTAAAAATTTTAAAAAGTATGAAATTTGTTTAACTGATTTGTATTTATGGTTATATTTTTTTTTTATTATTAGACGCGAATTTTATAAATTTAAAAAAAACGAAAAACTAAGAAAATTACAGCGTCAATTTATATGATTTCAACAATAATCAAAATCTAATAATAAAAGGTCACAAATAAGTCAATTGGTTCGGTTTAAGAATGTATATAAACATTAGGTAATAGTAATTAATTAATATTTAGTAATAATAATAATAATAATAACAAGTATTTTGTAACAATTATGGTCATGCTAAAAAAATGTCTTCTTGGCATATATTTTGTTGATTTCCAAATACGAAAATATGTAACAATAACGTAAATAGCGATTTTTTTTTCAATTGTTGTAACAAAATACAAAAATTTTGTGAAAATAAAACTATAGAAATAAATATTATAATGGGTATCATTGATCACACTTTGGATCACAATATACACTATAAACAAATATGTCATGCATAAAAATCATATAAGATTAAATTATTTGATGCAAGATAATCAATCGTCCATTAAATGATAGGAAAAGAAAATTTTCGTGTGAAAAATGATGAAAAAATAAACAAATTAATATTTTTTTCATGTGAGGGTCTTTTCAACAGAAAGGGGCTATTTTTAAAAATCTTTATTGAAAAGGATCTCCCAAATTTCCAATTCCAAAATGAATCAAACCGTCCTTAATATTGTCCGTTTTAATAGCAAAATTTTTATTTGATTTTGTTGTAACTTCTTTCAGCTGAAATTAACCTTATTATTTAGATTATTATGATTATTCATTGATAGATGGAAATGGTTCGATTATTGAAAAATCAAAAAATTCAAGTACCAAATTACCAATTACCAATTATACAGTTCTTTTCGACGAAGGGGAAAAGAAAACGGACAATTAAACAAAACTCGGAACCAAAAGAAAGGAAGGATTTAAAAAAATATTGATGATGATGAATTAAAGATCAACGATCAAAAGAAATAAAAATATATCGGACCGGTTCATCTTTTACTAAGAGAAAAGAGAAGCAAATGAGAGAAAAGCAATTACTATAGAAAAATAAACAAAACAATCCCCAAAATTTAAGAACAGGGTTAAAAATTGACATGCTGAAATTGAAAATTGTTATCTAAATTTCAAATTAAAATGTTTGTACAACAAACAAACATTAATGATTGACGGACAAACATTTTGTCTTGGCATACATACATAATACTAATTTTTCATTTTACGACTAAAGTAACAACAACAACAACAACAACAACAACAATAATAGTTACTATTATAATAATAATGAGCGTGCATATTCACGAAAAGTTTTAATAGGATTTTTAAAAAATTTTTTATCAATTAATATTATTAATATTATAGCATATGGTTTCACGAAAAATTTGATGGTTAGATATTTTCTTCTTCGCCTTCTATATTAATATCATCATCCTTCTTCGCCGTCTCTTTATTCTCTTTTTTATCAGGTAGGTCCTATGTAATCACTGGCAGAAATAACAAACTTATTTTTTGCAACTTTATATTATAATAATGTGATACAATCAGTTTATCGTTTAATAATAAGAATATATTTGAATTAAAGAAAAAAAAATTATTTCTACATTGGTAGAGGCTTTTTATAGTGGTGACAGAAATTCCTTTTCCTTCTTCATATAAATCATTAAATGAAAAATCTGAGATTTATGTTTCTATTAAATTAATTATTTCATTAATTTTATATTACAAAGTTGGTTCTTGTAAGCTTTACATATAATGAAGTAAAAGGTCAATGTTAATCAAACTCAGGCCAGAGTTATGAATCTGGTTGATTTTATCTCTTAAACGGAAATGCGGACAAATTTGCCTATAATAATAACCATAATTTTTTCTTCAATTCTGGAATTCGTTAGGAAAATCAAAAAATACGTGTTTGGGGATCAAAGTTTGTATGTCACGCAGATTTATATAATATATATACCAAATCTTAATTATGTATTTTCTGGTCCTTTCATAACCATTTAAGGGACACGCCTGATACTGAATATAACAATTGGTGATTACTTGTTCGCATTCAAACGAGTAAATAGATAATCATATAATAGTAAAATAACAATTATACAACGTCGAGAAATTTACTGTTTTTGCATAAAAACATTTTTTTAGCCCAATTTTAAATTATGATCATATAATAGTAAAATACAACGTCGAGAAATTTACTGTTTTTGCATAAAAACATTTTTTAGCCCAATTTTAAATTATGATCATATAATAGTAAAATAACAATTATACAACGTTGAGAAATTTACTGTTTTTGCATAAAAACCATTTTTTTAGCCCAATTTTAAATTATATTAATATTAATATTATTAATATGTGGTATTATAAACATAATTCCCCGTTTCAATCAGGATTTTCGTGTAATAAATTCAAAAAATAAAAAATTCCGATTTTTTGTATGTACGCGTTATAATGAATTTATACATAATCATAAAATAATTTATTTAATATATTGGAAGAGGAATATTGAGAATGAGTATTTAGAATATTTATTTAATATATTGTGTATTAACATTAGTACGTTGCGCATGAATTTACACACATAATGTCAAATAGAATCGCCATTTATTTATAAAATATACAATACAGCATCGATAAATATATAAACACATTATTACAAAGCATTGTTATAATTTATATTGACATTTATTATCACCTTTTATGATGATATTTGGCATAGAATCATCATCATTTAAATTTTCTTCAATAAATAACTCATCACTACCCGACTTTTTTTTGGTTGGAAGTTTGAAAGGTTTCTTTAAAACATCATTATTTATTTTTTCACTAATTTTGAAACTAAGGTTTTCCTTATAGATGGGGATTATCGATTTCTTTTAAAGGTTCGTCTTGATTGTTTGAAAAAATTTTTTAATTTAAATAAAAAAGTTACAAATGATAATAAATAAATTATGAACCAACACGAATAGAATATAAGTTACTATTTTTTAGGTAGTACCTCGTCGGAATCTGTCTCAATGTAAGTTGGATCTTGGTGTTCATCCCCTTCTTCCTGTGTTTATATTTACAAAAAAAGTTTTTTTTTATTGTTATAAAATATATAAACACATAAATAGAACTGTTTTCCTTAGTACCTCAACACTATATAAATCAAATTGGTGATCCATTTTTTGGAATTGAAGAAACTGAAAATATGCTTTTTATTTTTTATTTTTTGAATTTATTACCTGATTGGTGGACACTGTGAATTGAGGAATTAGACAGTAACCCAAAAATCCAAAATCACACGAAATTTCCCTTAGTGGGGAAATTTGGATCTTTGGGCAATTACTAATATAGTGCCGATCATCTAAAGACATCACAAAATGTTGCCAATCTTTAAATGCTGATACTCCACTAAATATGGGCTATTTTACCAAAAACTCTCTATTTTTGCAATCTTCTGGACATGAAAAATAATGTAATAGAAAG